GTTCAAGTCTGAAAACCACTGACTTAGAAGGTAAGGCTCTAGTTTTGAAGTGAAAGAAACCAGCATTTGAATGCCGACCTCACCACTCACTCCTTGATTGACCTTAGGCAGTTTGCTTATTCTCTTAGTCTCTGCTTCATCATCTACAAAATTTGTATAATTGCTACCTCCTGTGTCCTTGCATAGTGCAGAACCTGGCATGTGGTTAGTACTGAGTAAGCAGTGACCATTACTACCATTGCACGTCACAACTGTTTTCTTCTTTGGGATGAATGGCAAACACGATAGAATGGTGAGCTGGATTTTCAAGCCTGACATCTACTCTTAATCAAATAATCCTCATTCTTGACTTGGTATAATAGTAGTGAAAGGGCATATTAAAATGTAAATTACTACACCTATAGAGTTTGACTTAGCAAGCTTGGCCAAGATTTGGGAATCTGAGGTGATTCTAAAGCAGACCACATTTTCAAAAATCTGCAGTAATGTCTGTTTGAGGGTTGGAGTGTAGACTGAGGCTATCATCCCTGCCTCCCCTCTCCTTTACCCACCGTGTTCTGAGATCTCTCCCAGCACCTTTAATACCTACTTCCTGCCACCAAGGATACCCCTCCGATCCGACATCTCCATCTCGATGACTTGCTATTGTAATAGATGCTTTCCAGAATCAGAAGCTAGACCTAAGTTTTAGTTCCTTAAAGTAAGCAATGAGGAGAAATTTCAGAACACCAGGGCCTTAGGGACCGATTTCAAAGGGATGTTGTAGTGCCCTTTTACTCTGCACTGAATCTAATTACCCAATATTTGGATGTTACTACATTGGTTTCTCTGCATGGAGATTTCTTTTTTTTTTTTTTTTTTTTGTCTNCAGCCAGTGAGCGGGAACCGGTCTGTATGTGGGATCCGAACCCTCAGCGGGAGTGCCGCCGAGCTTCCCAAGCGGCGCACTATAGCAGTACGCCACCGGGCCGGCCTGCATGGAGATTTCTTCCTTTTTATGTCTCTCCCAGCAAAACACACACACACACACACCCCCCACACACACACACGCACGCACCCCTTTTTGAGAAACAGACACAAGAGTTCCCCGCCATCCTCATTAATAAAGAGGAGGAGCTGTATTGACATTTTTATTACCTCTCCTGAGGCAGAAATGACAGGCAGTGATGACATCCAATCATAACTCTGTTTGAGGCAGGATCATTGGCAGGTCCCTCTCTCTTCTCAGCAGTAATGTTCAACAGCACGCTGGCACAGTTTCTAAAGAGAGATGTCTCACAGCATTTTGCAAGCATTACTTGTTCTGTTTTTATGATAATATGAAATTTATCTTTTTAGGAATGGTGCACACATGTCTTGAGAATATTTATTACCAATCACAATTTGTTAGTTGTAGTATCTATGAAATCTTATAGAAACATGTTTAAGTTTTCTGCATTACATGTAGCATTTGATGTAGATTTCTGGCCCATGATCTTGACCATGTTAAGAAAGAGCCCATATATTTTTAGTTCTCTCAGATTTTTTAATAAATAATAAGTGGTTAGTAACAATTATCAAATGCTTTGTCTTCACCTGTTGAGGTAACCATTTGAGATTTCTCTTTTACCCATTAATGTAGTGACTTACATCAATAGATTTTCTGATGTTGAACTTCTTTGTTTTCCCAGACCAACCAACCTCTCCT